GTCCCCCTACTGTCGGCATCTGACACCCACTGCAGTCAGACACATAGAACATGATCATGCTGTCGGCATATGACAGCTGCAGTGGCAGCCTTCCGGGCGCCGAGAGCCAGCGCGAGTCAGCTTAACATACACGATGTCACTAGCATGAGTGGCGTCATCGGGCCTCGGCCCTCGAGAAAACCACAGCCAATAGGATACTCATCCTTCGCGCGCCGAGGCCCCTGCAGCAAGGCCGTGGCAAACCGCCATCCCTCGGCCGTGCGCGGGGAGGCGCAAGAGGCCGCCCCGAACGGCGAGCGCACGTGGCCACCTGTGAAACACGACGGCACGAGATCTGCCTGCATTCCACAACAGGGGCGTGCCAACGATATCCCTGGGTGCTGAAACGGCCTGGGCGCGTCTTTCTCACGGCCGTGGCATGATAAACAGCAAAATTTACTAGGCGTCTGCATCCCACCGCGGTTGGAGAAGCTACCATCGTGATTGCATCCTTGCCACCATGCACAGACGAACCACACCCAATGCAAGCAGACACATAGAACAACATAATCTCGCCGTGGAATCATGTCCCGTCCCCCTACTGTCGGCATCTGACACCCACTGCAAGCAGACACATAGAACATGATCATGCTGTCGGCATATGACAGCTGCAGTGGCAGCCTTCCGGACGCCGAGAGCCAGCGCGAGTCAGCTTAACATACACGATGTCACTAGCATGAGTGGCGTCATCGGGCCTCGGCCCTCGAGAAAACCACAGCCAATGCGATACTCATCCTTCGCGCGCCGAAGCCCCTGCAGCAAGGCCGTGGCAAACCGCCATCCCTCGGCCGTGCGCGGAGAGGCGCAAGAGGCCGCCCCGAACGGCGAGCGCACGTGGCCACCTGTAAAACACGACGGCACGAGATCTGCCTGCATTCCACAACAGGGGCGTGCCAACGATATCCCTGGGTGCTGAAACGGCCTGGCCGCGTCTTTCTCACCGCCGTGGCATGATGCTCAGCAAAATTTACTAGGCGTCTGCATCCCACCGCGGTTGGAGAAGCTACCATCGTGATTGCATCCTTGCCACCATGCACAGACGAACCACACCCAATGCAAGCAGACACATAGAACAACATAATCTCGCCGTGGAATCATGTCCCGTCCCCCTACTGTCGGCATCTGACACCCACTGCAATCAGACACATAGAACATGGTCATGCTGTCGGCATAGGGCAGCTGCAGTGGCAGCCTTCCGGGCGCCGAGAGCCAGCGCGAGTCAGCTTAACATACACGATGTCACTAGCATGAGTGGCGTCATCGAGCCTCGCCCCCCGAGAAAACCACAGCCAATGCGATATTCATCCTTCGCGCGCCGAGGCCCCTGCAGCAAGGCCGTGGCAAACCGCCATCCCTCGGCCGTGCGCGGAGAGGCGCAAGAGGCCGCCCCGAACGGCGAGCGCACGTGGCCACCTGTGAAACACGACGGCACGAGATCTGCCTGCATTCCACATCAGGGGCGTGCCAACGATATCCCTGGGTGCTGACACGGCCTGGGCGCGTCTTTCTCACGGCCGTGGCATGATGCTCAGCAAAATGTACTAGGCGTCTGCATCCCACCGCGGTTGGAGAAGCTACCATCGTGATTGCATCCTTGCCACCATGCACAGACGAATCACACCCAATGCAAGCAGACACATAGAACAACATAACCTCGCCGTGGAATCATGTCCCGTCCCCCTACTGTCGGCATCTGACACCCACTGCAATCAGACACATCGAACATGATCATGCTGTCGGCATATGACAGCTGCAGTGGCAGCCTTCCGGGCGCCGAGAGCCAGCGCGAGTCAGCTTAACATACACGATGTCACTAGCATGAGTGGCGTCATCGGGCCTCGGCCCTCGAGAAAACCACAGCCAATGCGATACTCATCCTTCGCGCGCCGAGGCCCCTGCAGCAAGGCCGTGGCAAACCGCCATCCCTCGGCCGTGCGCGGAGAGGCGCAAGAGGCCGCCCCGAACGGCGAGCGCACGTGGCCACCTGCGAAACACGACGGCACGAGATCTGCCTGCATTCCACAACAGGGGCGTGCCAACGATATCCCTGGGTGCTGAAACGGCCTGGGCGCGTCTTTCTCACGGCCGTGGCATGATGCTCAGCAAAATTTACTAGGCGTCTGCATCCCACCGCGGTTGGAGAAGCTACCATCGTGATTGCATCCTTGCCACCATGCACAGACGAACCACACCCAATGCAAGCAGACACATAGAACAACATAATCTCGCCGTGGAATCATGTCCCGTCCCCCTACTGTCGGCATCTGACACCCACTGCAGTCAGACACATCGAACATGATCATGCTGCCGGCATATGACAGCTGCAGTGGCAGCCTTCCGGGCGCCGAGAGCCAGCGCGAGTCAGCTTAACATACACGATGTCACTAGCATGAGTGGCGTCATCGGGCCTCGGCCCTCGAGAAAACCACAGCCAATGCGACACTCATCCTTCGCGCGCCGAGGCCCCTGCGGCAAGTCCGCGGCAAAACCGCCATCCCTCGGCCGTGCGCGGAGAGGCACAGAAGGCCACCACGAACGGCAGGCGCACGTAGCTGCAGCACCGAACGTGAAACAAGACGGCACGAGATCTGCCTGCACTCCACAACAGGGGCGTGCCAACGAGGACCCCTGGCAAAGAGGATGTCAATCGTGCCGAGAGCGGCCGGGGAGCGTCGTCCTCACGGCCGTGGCAGAAGTTGCCCAGTATCATGTCCTCGGCTTCTGCATCCCACCGCGGCTGGAGAAGCAACCGTCGTGACTGCATCTCTGCCACACTGCGAGCATGAGCAACACCCCCTGCGAACAAAGACATCCGCCACCCTGCCTGAACGATCCGGGGCGTGTCAGACTGCCGGGTGCTGCTCTCCGCGGTTCTCTGTGCTCAAATAGAGACCCCATCCCCCCTCGAGCCGCAGAGAAAAAAATGCATGCGTAACACGAACTATGAATCCGCGCTCCCGAGGGAACAATCGCTTCGCGAACTCGATGCGCCCGCGCCCGGAGCTTCCAGGACGGCCAAGGCAGGCAATCAAGGCAACCACGATGGCCCACGATGCATCGAAGGCAGACCAAGATGGCGCCAAGTCGGCCGACTTCGGCCTGACGACTGCCCAATCTGCCCCAAGAAGGGCCCAAGAGGGCCCCAAAGACAGCCTCCAACAAGGCCCTACATAAGCCAAAACCACAATTCCTGGGGGTGTCTGAATGGTGTTCGCACTCTCGCCGTGTCGGGCTTCCGTCAGCTGAAGACGGCCCAGCATGCCTCCACGATGGCCCTGAAGAAGGCCCTAAGAGGCCACACCACGAGGGTCCAAAGATTGCCCACGAGGACCCCACGAGGGCGCAAGAGGCACCCAAGACGGCACCAGGACGGCCCAAAAGGGACTCCTGTGGGACCCAAGGCGCCCCATGAAGGCCCTTCGACTGCCCAAGACGGCGTCCACGAGGGCCCAAAAGGACCCCCAAGACTGCCTCACAGGAAGACAGTACAGCCACAGGACGGCCCAAACGAGATCCTGGAGAGCTCCTCCTCCTCCTCCTCCCCTCCTCTGCCTCCTCCTCATCATAACCACCACCACCACCACCATCATTTTCATCATCGGCATCGTCATCAGCATCATCACCACCACCATCATCACCATCATCATCACCATCAGCATCATCACCACCACCATGGTCATCAGCATCATCACCACCATCATCAGCAGCGCCAGCATCCTCCTCATAATCTCCATCAATATCAACATCGTCGCCAACGTCATGCTCCTCCTCATCATCTTCCTCAGCCGCATCCCCCTCTCCGCATCATCAGCATCGTCATCGACATCATCATAATCATCATCATCATCATCAACATCATCAGCATCAGCAGCATCATCATCATCATCAACAACATCGTCATCATCAGCAGCAACAGTATCAGCATAACAATCATCAACACCAGCACCAACGCCAGCAACAACATCACAATCACCATGACCAATACCGTCATACGCAACATCAACATAGTCGTCACAATCAAGATCATCATAACCATCATCACAATAATCATCAGCAACAAACAACATCATCACCACGTCACAGCCGCCCTTGCCATCACAAGCAACATAATCATCAACATCATAAGCAGTAGCAACATCCACGTCATCATCATCGTTACCATCATCATCACCACCATAACCATCATCATCAACATCACCATTCATCACCACCACCATCAAACTCATCATTATTATCACCCATCCTCCTCATCCTCCTCCAACTCCTCCTCCTCCTCCTAATCATCACCATACCCACCACCATCATCATCAGAGTTTTCTCATTATTCTTCGACATCAGCGTTATCATCCTCATAGTCCTCCTCATTGTCAACTCGGTCGACATCGTCATGCGCATCCTCATCCTCATCCCCATCCGCATCCTCCTCCTCATCATCAGCAGCATCATAAACATCGTCATCAACATCATCAGCAGCATCAACATAATAATCACCAACACCACCACAAGCGCCAGCAGCATCATCACAATCACCATCACCAACACCATCATCAGCAACATCAACATAATCGTCATGGTCAGCATCATCATCAGGACCATCAGAGCCAACATGACCATACACATCAACAACCACATCATCACCACGTCACCATCGCCCTCGTCATCCCAGACACCAACATCATCAACATCATCGTCAGGAGCAACAACCACGTCATCATCATCATCATCGCCATTATCATAATCACCATCACCACCAGCATCACCATCACCATTCATCACCACCATCATTATTATCACCATCATCACCCATCATCCTTATCCTCCTCCACCTCCTCCTCCAAATCATCTCCATACCCACCACCACCAACATCATGATATTATGATTGTTGTCCTCCTTGTTCTTCTTCATTCGCATCATCACAACTCCACCAAGCCTGGAAGCACGAGATGTCACATGTGACGCCCTCCCGTGCCCCCTCGAACAAGCGCCACCCGAAATGCTGCGTTGGCACGGCGACGGGACTTGCCGCAGACAACCAGATAGAGCACCAGTCCTACTTCTTCAAATCTGACCGCCATCTGACAGCTGCAGTGGCAGCCTGCCGGGCGCGGAGAGCCAGCGCGAGCCAGCTTCACATGCATGGTGTCACTAGCACGAGTGGCGTCATCGGGC